TCTGAAGAATTAGGCTTGAGATATCTACGCGGCACAAACTCTAGAATGTCCTTGGAAACATTGGACATGACATCACGAAGAATGGTTACATCGCTACAAGTGAGGAAGCCATACCAATCCAAGGATCTCATATAGTTATTTATTAAGTCGCTATCTACGCAGTCGTAGTTCATGTAAGTCTGAACGGCGCTTGTCTTTTTTGAAAAGGTAAGCGGTAGGCAACAATGAATTAATACGTGGTCACTGTCAAAGAGGTTTTTTTTTAAAGCAACAGAAAGAGGAGCAATGTCATTGGTAAAGATTAGATCGAAAATGTGATTATCTCATGTTGGAGAGCGCACCAGTTGCGACCAATTAGAAAAATTGATAATATCTTGAAAGGACTGGAATCTGGGTGGGCAGCTATTGGAAACCCAGTCAATTTCAGGAAGGTTAAAATCCCCAGTGATTATTTTAACATCGAAAGCAGCTTCCGAAATTAATTTAAAGATTTCACAGAGTTGTGAATCATCACTGGCTAAAGAATTTGGGGGATTGTAGATACAGCCAATAATTGCCTTTCTTTGCGGCGAGAGAATAACAGATGCAAAGCAGAAGTTTCCCGTGAATGTGGAAACATCCAAGTAATAGGGAGAGTGCTTTAGGTAGGATTTAAGATATAGAAGACAACCACCCCCACGCCTAGTCGTGCGGTCTTGGCGGTAAAAATCGAAGTCATCTATGAGAAGGGCAGAGTCAGGAAGTAGAGAATGTGTCCAAGATTCTGTTACACATATAATATCAGGCATCATTTCCAGAGCAATGGCTCTGATTTGGGCCATCTTGTTTATAACAGACCTGGCATTCAATAATATGATATCTAATGTGTTTCGAACGGCAATGCTATTTTCGATGGTATTTAAAAAAAATTTGGAGGCGGATATGTAAGCTGCGAATTAATGATACTTGGAGAATAAGTATCAGTTAATTTCGAGTTATTGACGTACGGGGAGTCAGCAAGAGAAGGCTGAGTATGAGACCTGAAGGAGGTGGGGATATAGTTTTCAAACATTGGAATGCTAGGGGAGTTAGAACATGGATAGACTTGTTGGTAGTTAAATAATGGAGGAAGGGGAGGAGGAGGAGGAGGAGGAGGAGGAGGAGGAGGGAGGCTAGAAGGAAAGTAGGGACTAATGGGTGAGGGTAGGCCACAAAAAGACTGAAATGGTGGGAAACCAGGTCTAGATTGGAAGTCAAAGGAGATAGGTTGACGTACCTGAGAGCAATTGGCCTTAAGTGGTGGGAAGCCTGAACTAGGTTGGGGCATAAATGATTTAGAGCAATTCATGTATGAATTATTTGCTGGATATATAGTAGGGCTTTGATAAGTAACCGGTACGCAGGACAGAGAATTATTCGAGGATATAATTGGAGCTGCGGGGTTTGTAGACGTGCTTGGCTGAACAGACATGTTAGATCTAAGAGAAGGCGTCGTATCCCTAAACGGAACTGTACTACCTATCTTTTGGGTCGGAGTCTGATTCAATTTTCGAGTCTCACCGTTCTGACGCCAAGCCACTGGTGACTTAGCTGTAGACCTTACAGCACCCAGTTGGACAATAGAAGTTATCGGTCTAGCTGATGTAGACGGATTTTCATGTGTCTCAGCGGGACTATCCGGAGGATACGAAACGACAAATGGGGCTGCTGCTGCTGCTGCAAGTTTAGGGGCAGGCAAATGCGTCGAGTGGTTCGAGTGAGATGGAGATGTCGGAGAAAGAGGAAGGAGGGAGTCAGATGTCGCAGGAGTGGGAGAAGCTGAATCCTTACGGCCACTTGTATTATGACCGAGTTGGGGAGCATTAGACTGAGAAGCAGTAGGTTTACGTGAGAATAGAGACCCGATTCTACGCTCCATAGGAGTAAGATCATGACAAAGGAAAAATTTTGCCTTCTCTAGGTACGCAGTGACACGCTCTCGATGAGTAAAGATTGTGTCAACTTCGATTGATGAAAACAATTTGACTAAGATAGGTGGATTTGTACTACGGGAGGACAAGCGTTTGGCATCCGCTATTTTATAGTTGAAACCACATGAATACAGGAAACTGGTCGCAACATCAATTGGCCGAGCAGATCGAGGAACATTTTTTAGCAGGAAGTTGTAAGAACGCTTCTGTCTATCACTAGATTCACTGGCGATCAGGTGAACAAGTGAGTCGAGACGCCTACATTCTTCAGAGGGAATATCGGAGATGTTCCCGTCGAATAAATGTCCAAGAATTGTCAGCAAAGAGCCAAACTTTAGCATAAAGTCATCGCAGTGGTCAAGTGCAGACAGATTAAGCTGCCGACCAATTACAACGGGTGACGACTGACTAATAATATCATCTGACTTAGATTTAGGTACAGCTTCTGACTGACGTTTAGTAAGGCCATGTTTACTTACAAGAGCCGAGAGCTTACGTCGACCAGTGACTTTTGGTCTCATCTTGTCTCGAGGCAATTTGTGATTAAGAAAACTTCTGGCAGACAAGTTGACTGAATTTCAGCTAGGGGCTAACGATGTAAAAATAAATTACAACAGTTAGAGAGAAATCGGATGCACAAAATGAGATTTGCAAAGTGCGATTAGTGAACAACGGGCATAGACTAGCAAAACTCGAAAGGAGATGGCAGCGGGTAGTTCTTATAGAAAAGGCCTGTATTTAAGGAAATTCAACCAAAAAAACGGGTACTAAAATCGTTAGATCTCACAGAAAAACCACTAAAAATAATATCCTCCACTTATCTTCAAATTTAAAACCAGCGGCATGAAGTGATAAAGCAAGTTTATTTATATAACTTAAACCTAGGTCCTATATGGGGAAGCATTGTGAGAGTGGATTATTCTGAAAGATTATGGGGCCAGGAAGTTTGGCAGGACTAAACGACATGAAACTGCAACTGAATGACAATATCTCCATCTGCCATGTTGAACTCCATCAGCTTTAGTGTAGTAAATTGGCATTAGTTTTGCAGCACAAGCATTTCTATATCCGTAGAATATGAATAAACACACTAGAGTTAGTCGGCATAAGTTGAAGTTTGCAAATATCCGAGTTCAGTCGCAATATCATTGATGCGCAGAAGGAAGATAAGCGGACCCAGAACCGTGCCTTGAAGTACGCCACTCGTGATCGAGAGAGGTGTCGAGAAGCTATTACCGACCATGACTTTCTGCTATCGCATGAACAGATAGGACCTGATGAGGTCGATTGCATGCAGCCGGATGCCGAGAGCTTCCAGTTTTACGAAAAAGCGTCTATTGGACACCTTATAGATGCTTTGATATCACTGAGTAATACTCATTACGAAAAGAAGTGATAAAATTAAGAAATGCGAAGATGCAAGTTTCGCAGGTTCGTTCAGGTAAAAAGCCATGTTGATTAGACCTCAGAAGTCGACTAGCTGGACAGAAGTCAAGAATTTCATTTAAAATATCCTTTCAAAAGTGATGGCCTAAGTCAAAAAGTTTGCTGGAGAACTCAAGCAATATGCCAGGACATATCAGACAAACTGAAGCCACGATATCTTAAATGTTTTCCCCTTTATGAAAATGTGCTGAGACCAACGGACACCGAAATGCTAGCTAAAATCTACCTCCAAGACCATATGACAAAATTGTCATTGCACGCAAAGACCTGGTGACATCTATAACACCATCCTTCTTCGACGATTCCGTCTTCACTTAGTCGCAATTACCTTCAATACTGAGTAAGGTCGAGTTATAAAAATTCTACCTGAAGCTGATGAGTCCATCTTCCTGTCTATTTGGTGGGTCGGTGATGCATCCAGTTGGTAGCTTGCCCTGCTGGAAATTCGCATAAGGTTCAAATAAATTACAACGGTGCCCATATATGTGGCAAATATCACTGCGTCAGAGGAATGAACTTGCATCTACATCGTTCATTCTCTGAAACCTGTTGAAAGTCTCGACGAGACCACGAGTCGGCGTTCGAAGATTTGGTGTTATCTAGGAAATCCCCGTGTGGCAGTTTTTAAAGCGAGTGAACGGACTTTGTTAATCAATAATATACCTTTTCCTTAATCTAGGTTTAAGAAAAGACATGTGGCAATTACGCCTATGAACTGCATTTGAGTGCCGTCGAAGGGGGACGTGTAACGAACGGCGAACGTTTGTTAAGCGGGGCATATCGATTTGTTCTCAGTTGACGGCTTTCTTTCTGCGTGATTTTTCAGCAGCCGAACGCTATTTTACATTTTTCTTGGTCACACAGCATTTAGTCACAGAGCTCCGTGGGCCAGTCCCAATTGCCAGTGCGTGCCTCCTCTTGTTGAACGGTAGCGTGACTCGGTAGCGGGCCAGGATGAAATATCAACAGCAAACAAAGGGAAGTTGCTCGAGTGAGCAGTGAAAATGGATCATGGAGAACAGTGTGTCCAGCACGGTTCCAGGATTAATCCCACATTGAATTAGCAATTCAGCCGATTGTCGCTTGTCGACGACATTGTGAGAGGTTGTACTTCAGGGAAACATAATCCAAATGGCGAAATTAGTTCCGGGACCACCAGACAGAATTAACTGACAATTGATAGTGACGACATATTTGGCGGGCTCGATGAAACTGACCTCGACAAACCCACGCAGATTAAGCTCGTTTTTGCCCTTTTCGTTGCGATTGGGAGAAAATAATGGCTTACCTATTAAGAGTCAGATCATGATTTCCAATATACGCCGACTTGTATGGAGTCAGTATTGATTGAGTACCAGCATGTATTGTAACAGAGAATTTTCTTCCTGTTCCAGAAAACCGTAAGGCGAGACTGACAAGATCATTTTGCCTACGACTGTAAAACGCCCTTCCGAGAAAAAAAATCATAAGGGCTCTTACCGACCATTTGGTTATTAGAAGCTACTTGTTCAATATTAAAATGATTTCTAACCCCTGGGCAAAAAATGAAGAAGGCTGAGGTATGAAATCATTTCTCCAAATAGTCTACGGGCTTAGCCAAGTTGAATGACGAAGTAAGTTGGCGGACGAAATCCATTATCATGCTTTTTAAAGGACGATTTTCAGGAATTATTCGAACCAACAGTACTCAACATCCGGCCCTTACTTCCCCTCCTATATTCGGTCATACAAAAAAACAGCCTTCCTTATCGGTAAGCACTCAACTTGTTGCCATATCACATTGACTCTATGGCTACTGGCAACATCGCCGCAAGTTACATACCTCAACAGTTTTGTTTTGCATCTCTCAGTATTTCCAACTGCATAATGTTTCCCCACTGCCTGTTTCACCATTTTAATAAGCAGTAATTAGTGAACCTTACGTTTCAGGATTTCAATGGGTGTTTTACATCCTCCTACAGTTTGACCCAGATATATTATGCATTATTGGATCTCTGTACCACCCGCTAATTTCCGACTCGGCGCTTAAAATAAAAATCTCAAGTTATGTCTAAAAGACCGCGAAAACAACCACGACGTGGATATTTCCTCTGTTACCACTCCACTGTTCGACCGCATTTTTTTTACTGCTGGCCGGATTTGCGTTTAACGCTTCCATAACAATGCCTGTAAACTGGCATTAGGTATAATTGTTATTATTATTATGATAAGCAGAGGTTAGAGGCGTGGACCTCTAACTAACAGGTCGTGAGCTCGAGCATCGGGTGTCCCACATTTCGGGGTTGAGTACGAATGACTGTCAACGGCTAATAAGCCAGAAATGGCCATTCCAGTCTTCCTTGTCTTTGTCGGTGACGCCATTCTGCCTATATCATGCGCCGCTGTGCGTCTGCTGGTTAGGGCTCAAGAGAGAGCCCAAACGGCACAACGGAACGAGTGAGTCCCACAAGAACGATCGGTGAGCGTCTCCATCCATTAAACAGATTCTGCATACCTCGTCTAAAATCCATATATGAAAATTAGTTTTTTCTTGTTTTAATGGGACCCAGACGGGTCTTTGATAAAATTATTTATTTATTATTTTTCTTATTCACTGACATGTTTGCTACCTAAAAGCCTAGACGGTTTCTCATCAAGTGGCTCCCGGTCGCTCGTACGCATTGTGACCCAGTCGCCAGAATATGCCTTGATGTCCTTGCTGAACTTGAACTACGGAACAAGTACAAGGAAAAGACGAGGCAAATCAAAAGTTCCGAAACACGTGTTTTGTAGTGCAGCCGATGCTGTTGTATCAGAAGCTTCTCGGTGGAGCTTTTCTGGGAGTGGCCTCGTAATTTTTCCTTATTTCGTTGACGTGATTTAGCATATATGCTGGGCATCGGTTGTACCAACATTTTGCAGAGGTAAAATCCCAAAACATCCAGGCATTCTTAGGTTGACGATTTTGAGGATGTGACATTCATTTCTGACCTTAGTGAGTGCAGTCCCTCGAACTGGATGGCTTCCTCTGTTACGCCAACAAGCCAACTGGTTTGCTTTATGTTCGTCTGGCTATTTTTAGTCCACCTCTACCGATATCCGGTCAAAAATGGAGATCCTTTGCATGGAACTGCAGGTGTTGTGTTCCTTTACTTTGCTCTCCGCACTTTTTCCTCCGCACCTTTTGTTTACTGCTTACCGCCTTATTGTTGAATTTCCCCAGGCCCATCTCTGCCACTCTATGGAGACAATCGATAAAAAGGAGAAATTCTTGGTCGACAAATGGGAACGCGAGGATGTTAGTACTTTCTCTCAGTTAGAATCTTTTTCTGCCCAATTTCACAATTGCTTATTTGCGGTAGTCCTGCCTATGACGGAGCAGGTGTTAATCACATCCTGTCTCCGCTTGCACCACCTTGCGATAATGCGTTTATCCTCATTTGAAAATCTGTTACGATAGATACCTCAGTTAGCTAACCGAATTTTCAATAGGTTTAAGCCCCTTTCGGCGGTGGGGAATGGGCTGAGTCGAGACCTCTTTGTTGCATGTAGAGTTGGACCGAAAAATGCCCCGACATCGATTAAGATCTTTGAAGCAGAACACTTCGTTCCGTCCATGTATAGTCTTGATAAAACACGTTTACCCCTGATCTTAGTTAAATTAATTATTTTTCCGGTAATATACCCATTATTTTTGTGCCTGATAGGGTCGTGGTGGTGGAATCTCCTGTGTTCTCCAGGATGGTGCAGTTTTTGAGAAAGCCGGTGTCAACATCAGTGTGATATCAAGCGAACTTACGGAGTCAGCTCTTCATCAGATGCGCGAGCGGTGCGTTACATATCCTTGACGATGCTGGTTCCTTAGGTCGTCGCTAGGTATGCAAAAAGAGTGCTAAATAGCTAAAATATTAAAAACACTTGCTTTATGCCTGACGACGATCTGGCGCCGAAAATTTACGAATTTTGTCAACTTTCCCAAAGAACTTGTGTGTATATTTGCGTGCATACATCTAAGAAGTGTGATTCTTTGAGAACAAAATTCCTGATTTGGTTGTCACAAAACACACGGACCTAGTTGTGACAAATCTCTCTGAAGGCGAAGTCCTCATTGACTTATTACAGGGCTCTTCCTCATTAGTACAGGATTTCTAAAGGCTGCTCATCTGCATGTCGCCTGCGGACATCCACAGAAAATCACGACAAAGATAGTACTATTGACATTTAGCAACAAAAGACCATACATATGGTGGTACATGAATCTCTAAAACACGCATTTAACGTGCTAGTCAGCTTCACCGACCGGTCATTCATTTGGCTCATGTATTTTAATCTTCAGATTGTAAATGTGTTTATATCGAGGATAGGCAGCTGCACCCCTCTCACACTTCGTTATCGTCAATACTCACCCTCGCATATTTACAGATGTCGCTGACAGTAAATGCCGGTTGACAGTTCTGTACAGCGCAGCCCTTCAAACGGCTTTCGAGCATTGCTCATACCACTCACCGACGCTCTCATCTGTGTCTATCGCCGGAGTTTCTCATTATCTTATTTGTCCGTTGCACAACCTTTTGGCGTCACGGCCTCGATGTGGGTTTAGAACAATTGAAACGACCCTCAACTAGAGCCAAACGCATTCTCTGGGAGGCCAATGCACCTAGACAGTTAGGGAATAGTTTCGTCCAAATGGACTCAGTCTAGAGCTCTCGTTAAGAATATATAGTTAGTAAGCAGCTGCTGTGGTTTTACTTGTTTACAAAAAATTTAGCTATTCCGTTCGTGTTTCTTGTTGAATCGGTAACATTCAATAGGATCGAAAGTCGAACCTTAAACGCGGTAGCCGTTGATCTAGTAAACTAAGTGGAATTAAAATCCGCTTTGGTAATAACACCAAGACGGGCCCTGGCTGGTGACCGTAAGGGATAGCCCAACGTGTGTATCCCGAACCAGATAGTACGAGACAGCCTCTGATTATTCGAAACTCCGATTTCACTGCAATCATCTGCATGACTTTCACAATTTCGACTTCTGCTCTCTATCCAAGGCCATGCTGTCCATATTGACTGTTGTCGACCTCACGCTGAATTACCCATGAATGTGTTCAGTCGCATCTGACCTTCTCGGCACGTTGTATAACATTTGACCATTTAGCCAAACTTTTAATTTTGTGCGGCTTAAAGGGTGAATTTGGCCTTTTTCGCCTAGACTGCAGTCCCTCAAAACTGACAAGAAGCTCAAGTTTGATGTCGTCGGTATAAGTTCCGTCAATCACCCGGTAAGAGCTCTGTATTTTTTCATATTTCTTTGGTATACGCAGTTGAATTTATTTGCAGCAGTGACATATTGCCAGGTTCACAATCTTTGTTTGGGAACTATTACTGAGTATATGAATGTGAAGACTGACCACTTAGCCCGTCCCCACGTTTTGAGCTCCCAAGCCTGTACGCGATTAGCAGTACGGAGCCATAGAGCCAAGCTTTTCCGAAGTAGGAACCTGTCTGTCTTCCAGACCGGTATCGTGGCTGAACGTTTTTAATAAGCTTGAAAAGTTTGGCCTTCAATTCGCTCTGACATCAACTTCACTTCGTTAGTAGACGGGGAGCCGAATCCTTCATTTAACAGGTGACTAAATATCGAACCACAAGTGTTATGGAAACACAAGTATATAGAAAAATCTCGAACAGCGTCAAAAGTTTCGGTTTGTGCACTAACCAGACCTTCATCGGACAGTCTGACCACTGCAAATGCCGAAGTGCACCGTATGCTCCACGGAGTTCTGACTTACGCTTAAACTGGTTTTTAGCGATGCAATAGAGGATGCTGAGGGATACCATCCAGGCCAGCTCTGTGGAAGCCCTCGGTCGCCCACGCCGTCAGCACCAAACTTAGTTTAATGGCATTGACAAGAAAATCTTCATCCTCCTCTCAAAGAAACGCTCGACCTATATAATCAACAACAGCAACGTCGATATGACCAAGTAATTCCGATGCCGACGACTACTACAACAGACCGAGGGAAATGCTGGATGCTTGGCGAAGTCGCAAAACTGAGGAGGCCCGGATGAGATTGTGGATTTCTTCGCGGCCAACAAAGCAGCCTGCAATCCGCAAACGAAGGGGACTGCGCCACTGCTGGGCAAAGGTGGAACAACTCTCCCGACGGAGAAGTCACAGATCCTGGAGCGCTGAACCGTGTGCTTCTAGAGCGTCCTCAACTACCTGCCAACAATATGCGAAATAGCCCTCAATTGACTTCCTAAAGTGGACACTGATGACGACCTCGATCATCCGCCCTCCCTCCTTGAGACGATCAGAACAGTTTAACAGCGGTCCGGTGGAAAAACGCTGAATCACACGCAATTCTAACCGAAGTACACACGTGCGGTGGCCAACTACTCATGGAAGAACTAACTTCACTATCCCAAATGTGGTGACAGGGACACATTCCCCAAGGCTTCAGAGATGCCTTGCACATCTATAAAAGCAAGGGGATCGTCAACAATCTGGTAACCATGGAGGCATTTCCTTCAACTTCGCAGGATTTCCTCGCTTGAACGCGCATCTGGAACAGGGGCTTTTTCCAGAACCGTATTGCAGATGAGGAGAACACAGCGGAACCACAAAGAGGATTCGTGTGGCCCGCTAATTGTAGGAAGCGTGCAAGGAAATGAGGACCAACCTATACACTGTCGTCAGTCTGACGATTTGCTCAAATGATAAAAATTCCAGGATGGGATAATGATGTGCGCCACGGTTGATGGAACAGCCCCTGATGCATTTGTGATGACCAGTTGGGCGGCACACATCTGTGTACTCACTCCCATTCTATTAAGTCTCGTGTTCTCCGTCATGCTGATGGATTTATACTATTAAGAGCGGCGAAAGCTCGACATCGGCTTTCGAGCCGACGGACAATTTCAACATCCGTTGCCGAAAAGCATCCGCGAGTGTATCCAAGGCCTGTGTCTCCAATCTGTTCAAGGACATGCAGCGGAACGTGAAGCTCTTCACTTTAGGCTGCCCTAACTTCGGCCTGGCCAGCTCGGAGGAGACAGTAGTCCGGCGCCAATGCTGACTACGCCAATACCCGCATCAATGCCAGTGGGACGCATCTCACGTCAGTAGAAAAAGTCGTGTACCTACCTTGGGAGTACAATTCCATGAAACCTCAAGTTTAACGGCAAAATCGCAAGTCTGGTCTCAAAAGCTAACCAGGCCCTTGGCACTCCGTCCAGAACCGCTGCGGCGCCTAACTTAGTAAAAAAACTGAGGAGGTACAGGGCTGTTGTCCCGAGAACACTTGTGCAGGGCGGAGACTTGGATTATTTAGGAGGTCCAAACGAGAAGAGTCGACCATTTCTACATCAGCCTTCTGCGAGGAACACCGAAACTGAGGCAGACTCTGACATCCTGGGAAAAACTGACACCCGCAGTGTCCAAAGCCATGCTGAGGCCGGTGTAACTGCGATGGGGCGCTCACGTCGTGGAGGGCTAGGGCTTGCCCAAGTGACTATTTCACGGCGACGTATCTGCGGTTGGTTGCAGGCACGGTGGACAACGGCTTCGCAACAAGGGTACTTTAAATACCTCTCTCAAGCACCTTCAAATCAGTCCGCAGACCTGGGAGAATGTCACCCAAGATGGACATGCCTTGAGCAGTGCCGCACGGGCTGGGACGGCCATATTAGAAGCCAGCATAGTGGTCGCTGCCAATAAATAGAGCTATACCCTTAACACTGAAGTGTTGCGGACCCAACCTCGACCATCATGTCCACTCGGTCAACGGACGCTCCGGGCTCGGATCGGCTTTGGTGAGCATCTGTGGATCCACTACAGTCTCAATCCGACCGACCCGCGTCATCTCACAACACCCACCACTACCGCCACCACAAGCAACATCGACGAGGGCACTTCTACCGCCTGCAAAAACATTTTCTCCACTACTACCACCAACAGTGTGGACTTAATTCAAACCGGCCACCATTGCAATCGCGCGTTTTCACCACTCATAAGCTGTGCTGGCCACTTGCAAATCCATCCTACAGAGCCGACGAACCAGTTCCTGTAGCCCCGATATACAAGTGTCACACACGCCTCATCTCCTTACAATTACTCGGGACATTCAGACATCGCATGGATTTAGTTAGCTGTGTGCACATCGATGTCATGAGAATTCACCGCAATGTCATCACGACAAACCAACCTCTTCCACCTTCAAATTCTACCATCAGCACTGCCGACTACCAATACCAGCGTCCCCATCACCAACAGCTTCGTCACATCAGCTCACTAGGCACAGTTCCATCCTGTCCTAGTTGCCACTACGCATTCACATCACGCATCGGCCTCATCAACCTCATGCGAGTTCATCGCAATAGGGCTGGAGAGCCAGTGACTGATCTAATGAAATGCGTCTTCGATTAGGAAGAATCCCTTAAGTGTGTTTATACTGTTTATTGTCGTGGAGCCTAATTTTAAGATATTTCAGGCATGGCAGGTTGCCAACTTTTGAATGCACCTATCGGTCGTCTGCTAAAAGCCAACCCAACAAGAAATGGCTAATTAAGTAGTGTGCAATTTCTGTGTGGTTTGTACATACTCATAAATTCGAATATATTTTGTGGCAATTATGCACAATTCTTTCGTGTCTTCCTTTGTTAGCAAATCACACCTCCAACGGGCATCTTAAGGTTTTAAAAGGGCAGTACTTGTACTTGGTACAACTGCGATCATGCCTGATCTGGTATGTAGACCTGTGTATTCACAGTAGACGAAGGTAAATACACCCGCTGGCCACGACGATGGTAAAATCCACCGTGCGAGACTTGGAGTGAGTTGGGCATCTTTGCCGTTAAGACAAACGTGCATTAATGCAGATCTCCTAATGTCGTGTGAGTGTCATCGAACACTGCTTTTATAGACTCCTCCCTAGGCTGCACCCTCCGCGGCATCTTGACAGTCG